ATCCTACTTCCGTAGTGATACTGCCTCAGAAACCCAAGGAGGGGTCGCTATGAGTCGGGTTTGACTCGACGGCACATAACAACAACAACAACAGCTTATATTAATAGAAATTCATTATAAAAATAAAAAATGTTATCCATCCTATCAAGTTTTCTTAATATATGTATTACATATTTCTTAGAGATGAATGTTGTTGTTCTTGTTATGTGCCGTTGAGTCAGACTCGACTCATAGCGACCCCTCCTTGGGTTTCCGAGGCAGAGCTCTGGTAGGATAGTGGCTAAGGCACTTGACTGCTAACCAAAAGGCTGGCTGTTAAAACCCACCAGCCACTCCTTGGAAGGAAGATGGGGCAATCTACTTCTGAAGTGATACTGCCTTGGAAACCCAAGGAGGGGTCACTATGAGTTGGGTCTGACTCGACAGCACATAACAACAACAACAACATCACTATGGAAGTAGATTGCCCAAACTTCCTTCTGAGGAGTGGTTGGTGGGTTTGAACCACCAGCCTTCTGGTTAGCAGTCAAGTGCCTTTGGGACTATGCTACCAGAGATGAATACCTTTTCTAAAAAACAGTATTATTTAAAACGTTTTCCTAAAATAAAAAGAAAATTTTCTAGAATATTATTATGAAATAAAGCATCTAAACATTAAGAACAATGTTTGATCATTAGCTGCAATAACATTAAACAATGCTCAGGAGACAAATGTACTATGTAAGTTTCATTAGTAGTTTATTTTTAAAAATAGAGAAATAACAAGATTTTGAGTTAGCCCATCTATTTTCCATATCCTTGAGCTTTCCCTATGGCTGCTGTCGTATAAAGGTCCCCTGAATAGTTTAGTTTTATAAGAATAGTGCACAGAAGGATCTTTATTCTTCTGTTGACTTTCAACAACTAGCACAAAATACATTAGTCATGTCACTTACAAAGAATACACTGTTAGTAATGTTTCTTTTTATTGAATGTTTATTGTTTCAAATTTAAAAATACCCTGTAGAATGTGGGAACAGGATCCAGACTTCAAGTCACACAGTTGTACTTTGGGCCCTCTAGTACCAACTGTAAAAACAAAAATTTTTAAAGATAATTTTATTCCAAATCATCAAAAATAAACAAAAACTATATTGTAATTCATGACATTTTTATGATATCCTTACAGAAATAAAAATCTATGCCAAAAATAATGTACATCATTTTTAAATTTTATAATTAGAAAAATTATTTTAATCGTAGTTATACTTTAGTAGCAAAAGAACTTAACTACTTTTTTTTTTTTTTTTTAACTTTTTCTTTTGAAGGAATTGTGGACTCTCAGGAACTTGCAAAAATGGTACAGAAAAGTCCCACATACTCTTCATCTAGCTTCTCCCAACGGTTGTATCTTAGGTGATTATAATACACAATCAAAATCAGGAAATTTAAATTGGTTCTATGACATTTTATTATATCAAATCATTTTAATCACTTAGTTTTTCCATGTAAATGATATACTTCCAATCACTAGTAATAGATTCACAGAAACTCTGGACACAGACTAACTGGACCTCAAAGTAATTTAGTGTGCAGCTTATCTATACAGATAAACCAATTCAATGAGGTCCAGAGGTAAAGAGGCTGATAATGCAGTACCCCAGAAATAATGGAATCACAGGCACCAGATACCTGATACCAGAAAATCATATTTTTCTTCCCTATACATGATAATTATCGCTGCAGATATTTTTGTATAAATAGAAATTTACTGTGAATCTTACAATCTTAAAGAGGAAATAATTTCCTTGTCCTATTTCCAATTAAAAAAGTTGTCATATTTTATTCATGTGATATCTTTGAAAAGTTTATGGTTTAAAGGTTATTTTTTGGGGAACTGAAATATGCTTTATTAGTGTTTCAATCTTAGCTACCACACAGTGCCTTATATGAATAATATTTTTTGAACTGAATACAAATAGTGGTGGAATATTTAAATTTTCTTTTCTCTTTTTAAAGAATTGTGATCTTCACATGGGTTACCATGCCTATATAAAAAGTAACTTGATCTATAAAGTTTCAATATTTTAAAAGACAAAAGAATATATGTACAAACCTGCTACCAAACAGTGCTTGGTGGCAACTGGAGACATATGATGACTATAAACTGTTTCCTCAAAATTAAATACATCTGCAGTCTGAAAATCAAAAGACATGTTTTAAAGTATGACTTCTAATTATAATTACAAAACCAACAATTTTTTTCTACTTACTTTTACACACTGCTAGCAATATTCAAAAGCTGGGTATTAGCAATTTGATTTGGACATAGAAATGTACTGCGCTACAAAACCTTAATAACTTTAAATCCTATGTTATGTACATTATTTTCCCTTCTGTGATGAAAAGTGTTTCCCCTAATAAATCTCGGAAACTAAAAAGACAAACACCGGGGACTTCTGGTAAGATGGAATAGGCAGGCAAGCGACACAGATCCTCTTCAACAAAGAAAAGAGAAACCAATTGACAGAGATACAGAAGATAATCCTGGAACCCTGAGCTTTGAAA